CTATGATAGTTCTATACTTATCTTTTTGTATGATGTAAATTAAATGGTAAACAGTAGTTCATGCAGGGAAAGAACATATCGATATTCGCATATTCATGCAAAGAAATGAAAATTCTTAATGGAGTACTCTCATTTCTTATTGGATTCCTAAAAAACAACATTTATAATGAATTTTTCGGATTTTTTTTAAGACTTAATCTGACCGATTCTTGATCCGGATCGTCGATTCATCGATCTGGATGGGTTTTTGAGATGCTCGATCCGAATCACCGATCTGTTTTTTAAAACACTGGGTTAAACTGTTTTGCATATCTTACTTCCAAATTCCATCATAACTAAAAGAGAACATGAATAACATGTTATTGTGGGAGCATATAAAGTCTTTTAGCATGTCCATTATATTTTATCAAATTGTTGGACATGCATCAACTGAAATGCAAATATTGCGGGTACATGAAAATGCATTGTTACTCCTAAATTTTTTGAGAAATTGTTACTTCTAATTATATAAGGAATGACACAGTCATTATGAGTCCATGTAGAAATGAGTCACCTCTTAAAAATCTATTTTTAAGATAGATTTTGGACTTAATTTTTGAGAACATGTAATCTCTAAGGGACAAACTTTCTATGCTTCCCCTACAATATAAGACTTCTATACTTCTCCTTATCCAACCGTCCATTATGAATGGAGGGCTAAGATTGCCCCAATCACAATGTCACGTCTCTACACTAGTTTATTTTTAATTTTTTCTATAAACTATTTTGACACCAAAATTTGGATATCTAATCCTCTATTAAACTCGTATTAGCAAAAAATCTAAAAAATTATTTTCAATAAAATAAAATGATCAAAATACTTTTGAAAGTTTCAAGGGATATTTTGGTCATTATATGTTATTGAAAAATTATTTTTAATATTTTTTATAGGTGCGCCCCAATGAGAAGATGACACATACCAATTTCATATTCATACAATTTGTATAAAAAAACTAAAAATAAAATACTTTGAGATGTCGGATCTAAGATCAAATAGTGAATGACTCTCTTGATCAAAATTGGATGGCTAGATGATAGGAGAAGCATGGATCTTATATACTGTAGGGGATGTATAGAAACCTTTCCCATCTCTAACATGAAGATTATGAATATGAAAAAATAAATAAATTTTAAAAATTAAAAATAATAATTCTATTAAGAAAAAAAATTAGACCGTTTAGTTTCAAGTATTTTTAGATGGACCACCTATTTGTATCCATCATTAAGATGATATTTTATACTTTAGGACCACATATTGTAGAAATGCTAACCAGCCGGCATAAAACAATTTTCCACCATATAATTTGAACTTGAAAAAAAGTACAAATTGAATAGATCTATAAACAATAAAAATTTCAAAAATAGATTTTCTAGATAATGCATAAACAAAGTACATTCCTTTTATGGCCTGAAATTCTTTGTTTTATCGTATGCATACATCTCGATGGCGATGGGGAGAAGATCAATTTGTGGATTTCCTGAAATTGAAATGACCTTTGCCCATAGCTTTTTTAGATGCGCCTTACTTCAATAGTACGAGACTGACGCTATATATAAACTTTTTATGACAGGAGCGCCCTATAAATAGCCCTCTCTCGCTCTTGGAAGGATCTCAAAACGTTCTCTATCTCTCACATCTTGGCGAGCAATATAAGTGCCCCCCCTCCAATCACAAAACGAGACCCCTCTCTTTCTCTCTATAGAACGCGCCACACAACAGCAAGGGAGCCATCTCTCTCTATACGAGTTATCTATTAATCGATGATTCCATCTATTTGAATCAATGAATGGATGTTTTAATTGCGTTTCCCAGATCGAACCCTTGTTTCTTAGTTGATACGGGACAAATTCCACGGAATTGCTCGTTTTGAGCTCGTGATTGATGGTTTCCATGGCTTTCTCTGAATTCTAGGGTAATTTTTATGTGGAATTGATTTTTCTGATGATTTTATGCTTATTTTGTTGGTTGTTGGTTTCTTGGTAAGTTTCATTTTACGGTTTGCTTCTGGTTTTGCAATCTTTTAGTGGAGAATTATCCATTGGTTATTCATATTTGGTCATGTCATATTCAGGTGTTGGTTCTTGTTGTCCTGGTTTTGGAATATGGAGGAGGAGGAGGCAGGTAGAGTTTCACCTGAGTATAATGATGAAGGTTAGCCATCTTTCCTATAATCAATGTTCTGAAACTTGGCTCGGGCCTCAGACTTGGCCCTGGCCCTGGCCCGAGCTGAGGTACCTGGATGGGAACCAATGGACTTGATTGAGTATTGTACATTTCTTGCAAAGGCTAAAACGTTGAAAAAAAACCAAAAAACTTATTAAAAATGAAAATAATAGTAACAAACAAATTAAAACCGTAAAGAGCATTAGAAGTCTAAATGATGAAAAAGTACAAAAGTTGGAATTTGGAAATTTTTTTTGTAGCTGGAAATAATTCAGAAAATTCTAGAAAGGGAAAAATAGAGCAAATGATAAAAAGTTCAAAAGCATAATCAAAATCGTGAAAATTATATAGGAACATGTTTGTACTTTCTTTAGCAATCAAAATCATGAAAATTATACAAGAACATGTTTGTAAATTCATTTGCTAAAGAAATATATTTTTTTTATGAATTTATTTCTATGTTTTTAATTACCTAAACTATTATTTGGCTTGGCAAGGTGCTGAGTTCTAGTTACTTGGCTGAGTCTGGGTTGACTCGGCCATGTTTCTGAACCTTGCTTATGATAATTATTTGTGCGTGTGCATGCACAACACACATGTCTATTCGAGGCCCTGATCGAATACTTGGAGGTCATTTTCTTCTTCTTATATGTAGAGAGCATATGGGTTCGTCAATGAGAGATTGGGCTCGCAATCAAACCTTTAGGTCATCTTCTTCTTTTTCTTCTTCTTATGTAGAGAGAGAGTGAGAGAGAGAGAGAGAGAGGGGGGGCATATGGGTCCCATGCGTGTGTATTGGAAAAGCTCGAAACCTATTTTCTATACTAACTTCATTCCACATGCCAACTGCCTGATCTTGGTTGGATGGTCGAGAGTGTGATAGTCAACGGACTTCAGTTTTATTACAAATCCAATTGATTTGAAAATTTGAGTGTGTGAGCCTCATTTGAGCGCAACAAAAAATTTTTCAAAAAATAAAATACCAAAATAACCCTTCAATATTTCAAGGGTATTTACATCATTTTATTTTTTGAATTAATTTTTCTTAGTTTTTCAGGTATGTAAGGTTGATAAGTACATGTGCCCAAAATTTTATATTCATTTAATTTTTGGAAAAAAAATTAAAATTCTAATAGTAACATGCACTTCAATCATTCGGTCAAAGATCGAATGGCTGGAAGGTGGACGGAATAGATGTTACAAATAGGATTTTTTTCATAAGAATAGTTAAAAATCCAAAATTTTCATTGTGGCATAAATTAGTGAAATTGTGAAAAGATAAAAGAAGAAAATTATAATAAAACATGATAAAATATGATACGCATTGTAAATCAAAACTGTGGGCAACTAATGAGACCTTGTAGGGACTAGGGATTCAATGTGAAAATTTTATTCAAGTCTGTGACCAAAGAAAAGTTGTATCCTGAGGGGGAGCTTTATTTTACTAGAACCCATGCATAGGAAAGTTGTGTCTGATTCCCCTTGCTGTCCTAGTTGTAAATGGGGTTTAACTGTATATTCGTCCTAAAAATTCAAATCCTCTCTCTCACTTGTTCCCATTTTGCATTTTGGTTTGGGGGCAAAAATTTAGCAGTTTTGTGAGCGCCGCAATAGTTATTGGGAGCGGGAGTGGGAGCTTGGGATCGAACCATGGTTGAAGCGCCCCAACTTGGGACCGCTTGGAAGTGTTGTTCAAGAAGCATGCTTGGGAGCCGCTTGATATAGGTAGCATATGCATATTGGATTGTTTGGAGAACACCTCTGTGTGAGTGTGCGCGTGCGTGTGCGTGTGCGTGATCGTGCTTGTGTGTGTGTGTAACTTAAAGTTGTAAAAAATTGAGAAATATAATCCACTTTTCAGCATTATCTGCACATGCACATTGAAAATTCTGAAGTCTGAAAGTTCCAAAAAAGATAGAGAAATAGGAGTTGCTGAGGTCCCTAACTGGGCAACACAGGTTGATTGACTATAGTGAGAGTTGCCCGGTTCTGGACAACCCTGCTAATTCCCCTTTTGGGACTATTAGGGACTGGAAGCCCCCCCAAAGTCTGTGACAAATTGGGCAATTCAGAGCCGGTTTACCATATTTCAGCCACTTATGCAGATCATGACCATGAAACTGGAATACAAAATCATCTATAGGTGGTCGTTAACTAGAGAATTCACAAAAGCAAAAAACATAGCACAAAATCATAGATGCGGGTTTCAAAAGTTCAAAAGCGTTTAAAACTTCTCATATGATCAAGATCCCTTCAAACCATGATCGCATTGCAATTTCAGTGGGGTCATGATCCCCTTTCGAAGCAATCAAGATGCCTTCTAGTTAGGGATTGAGATCTTTATAAGAATGGGATTAAGTTCCCTTGATGAGAGGAGTGAGCTCTGCTCGGGCTCCGAATCACAGGAGCGAGATTGTAAGGGGATTTTCCACCCCTCAACCAAGCTCCCCGCATCTATGAAGCACAAGTCCAACCTTCAATCAATCCCCCATAGGCATATGTGAAAACAAACTTCTACTTTCAAGGTTATGAGCGAGAGCCTCAAGAGTGACTATTTAATCATTTGCCCACCATATATGCCAACCACAAGCGACATCTTATGGTAGTGACCTATGTCACTCTTAAACAGTCCTAGACGATGATTATGGTTCAAATGGCTGTTTGTTTCCCAGATTTGTCGGATGTCTACCATTTATTCCATGAGTTTTTGACCCACTTTAATGTGCTAGTCCATTGCAACACTTGGCAAGTAAGTTTGTAATGACTAAAAATGGATGTCCTCCCAAGACCACGTGGTCCTTTGGTTCTCTGCTGGTCTAGATGAAATGTGGTCATGTAATAAGTACCCTTCTAAAGAAATTCCTTGTAATCTCTCTCAAAGAATTGTAAAGTGTCTGTTGGTCGATCATTTGATTACAATTGCTCCCCCACCCCCGATGTTGCTACATGTTGCCTTTGGGATATGGGTGAAATTTCATAATCATTATCATCATCATCCAAGCTTTATCCTAATTATTTGGGGTTGACGACATGAATACTGTTCCTCCATTCTATAGGTTTAGGATTCATGATAAGATGTGGCAAAGTTTTACACTGGTTTCGTACCTAACGAACCCACCTTCTTTACCCAAGCTTGAGATAGGTGAAGGGAAACTTTAAGGTCCTCTCCCCTTATTAGACCGATGGATGAAATTTCATATCGTTTTTTATTCTTTGTGATCCAATGAAATTGCAAAATAAAGGGAAAATTACATATACCCCCCAATATGTAACTTTTAAAGCCTCAACTACTTTTTAGATTACTCACTAAACCCCAATATTGTTTTGTATAGCATTTACCCCCCTAGTAAAAAAGTGAGCTCAAATGAAGACCAAAATACCCTTTCTTTTTTGTAAGGTCCACACCCCTCTCTCTCTCTCTCTCTCTCTCTCTCTCTCTCCTAGTACCCACGCCCCTTTCTCTCACCCTAGTACCCACGTCACATTTTGACGCTCCTAGTCCCTACTATTTGTAACGCGGTCCAGCAGTTCTTAGTTCCGGCCCGACAATGTTTCTTCTGGATGCACTCTTCAGTCTGGAAATTTGGTAACGCGGTCCGGAAATTTGTTGTGTAATGAAGATGGTCTGGCGATTTAAATTGTGGTCCGGCATTGCTTGCGACCTGTTTGGCAATTCTAGATGCCGGACCGGCTTTGGGTCCGGCACGTTGGTGTGCCAGTTCAGTAGGTTTTCCTATTGGGTCATTACTGGTCCGGTAGGAATATGTGCTGGAGTGTCTTTGGTGATTCAGAGCCTGACGGAAATGTGAGGCCAACGTGTATGGAAAGGGGCCTTTTCGTCCTTACACCTATAACTTTTTGACTAGGGGGCGTCTTTGCTATAAAAGCTAGTTCTAGGGTAAACATTGTGATTCAAAAAGTAGTTGGGGGGAGGATGTATAGTAAGTTGAGTCAAGGGGGGTTTTAGTAATTTTCCCTAAAATAAAATAGATATTTTTTTTGATTTCCATCTACTTCTTACTTTTGATTTTGAGCTTCGACACTTTGTATCTCAAATGCAAAACATTACTAGATGGTCATGTGGTGTTTCATGTGATGTATTCTAGATATTTCTGTTGTTGGCAATGCTTGTCATCCAGTTGATTGCAAGAACTTCCCAGATTCTGTTCTCCTTTGGCTTAGAAGCTTTTAAGATTCATACTTTGCTTACTGGTACTTAATTCCTGTTCTGGTTGCTAGAGGACGAGGAAGATTATGAAGATGACGATAGCGGAAATCGGCTCCTTGGGTTCATGTTTGGAAATGTTGATGATTCTGGCGATCTTGACGTGGATTATCTTGATGAGGTAACTTTTATACGATTAGTAAAATTAATTTTGTTTAATAGATTTAGTCTTGTTTAGTAGATTTAGTTTTGTTTTAATATCCCCTGAGTGTCCCTTGTTAAATAAAATCTGATGTTAGCATTTCTTCTTTATCATGTTCTTCACATGTTTGTGATGTTGATTATATATTGAATTTGTTATATAGCCTTGCTTAAGTGATGCAGACTGCTTCTTAAAGTATTACTTTTTACCTGGATGTCCGTTCAGGGCGATTCAAAGCTTAAATTGAAAATCTCTTCAACATCTATGACACCTATCTCTATGGGTTTTCATAATTGAGACGTTTTGGGCTTCAAATTGTGGTTGAAAGCCTGCTGGAAAGAGCAGCGATGAATTTTACGTCCTTGGTGTGTTGGGTTTCTTTCGTTCCATGATTGAGCCTTTGAAACCCTAACGTAAGGAACCTCGTTTGGTCCACTAGAATATTGTGGATCCTTAGATTAGAAAGTGGTGTTTAGAAAATTTTAGTAAGTTGTTTCTTTCTTTGGTTTGCATGTTAGATTAGTTCTTAATTTTGTTTAAGAGTCTAGATAGAGTCTTTCCATGTTTTGTAAAAGTCTAGTTTCCTGAAACCATAAAGGAATTGGTAACTAATTTTAAAAGGACTTAGAAGTTTAGGAAATTTTGAAAGTAGAGATAGCTTGGCTAAGTGAAATATAAATATCATGTAGGCCTATGGAAAAATCAACCAAGTTGAATAATTAAATGTAGTTTCAATTATGGTGAGAGGTCACATTTAGAAGAGAGATTCCTCAAGTCTTTTTGTTGAGAGAATCATACTATGACTCTTGCCTAGGATCATAAGAGTCTACCCCTAAAGCTTAGCCACTTTACTTCTTTTGGTGGAGATATTCCCCAAAACTCTAGCTTGTGGTTTGAAGATTCTTCCTGTTTTTTTGGGCCTTTTCATCTTTTGCCTTTATGTGGCTCCTCCCCCGCCATATTCCCTCAACCAAATTCCTTATCCTGGACTCATCCTTCTGAGCTCTTGTGAGCTCCTGGGGGCTTTCTTTCTCTTCCTAGGTTACTGGTTGGGCAGGTTTTCGTCTTCAATGGAAACTGCAACTCTTAAAAATTTCGATCAAAATGTGGAGCCTCGCCCACCCTCTTAATTTTAGGGTCCAGAGAGCCTGTCTCCTTCAGTCCATTCAACATCGGGATGCTTTGGAAGAAACTAGATCCCTCGCTCTCGCTGAATTGGAATCTCGAGCCAAATCAAAGCTATACTATCTCTCGCTTCTGCATAAAGAAGAAATCCATTGGGCCTAAAGAGTTAAAGTGAACTGGCTCAAATTGGGAGATCAAAACAATGTTTATTTCCACAAGATAGCAAATTGTAGACGGAGAGAAAACTCCATCTCCCACATGAAAGTGGGAGATGCCATCCTATACCAGCCACCCCTCGTCGATCAAGCCATCATTGAATGCTTCTACCAACTTCTTTCTGGCACATCTGAAGAATGAACCACGATGGCCGATTTGTCTCTCAAGACCCTATCCCTCGAACCAGCTCTATGGTTGGAACACCCTTTCTGCGACTAGGAGATCGTCAAAGCCTTACAAGACCTCAGCCCAGACAGAGGCCCAGGCCTAGATGGGTACCCCCATTGCCCTATTCAAATATTTTTGTGCTTGGATATTCTAGCTTTCTTCTCTGAATTTCACTCTAGAGGGGTGATCAACAGAGCGATGAACGCCACTTTTATTGCCCTCTTCCCCAAGCTAGAGGGATCTGAAGAATTAAAAGACTTTAGGCCTATTAGTCTATTCAACAGCTCTTACAAATTGCTGTCCAAGGTCTTGGCCACCAGACTAAAAGAAGTTCTCAGTAAGAGAATCTCCCCCGCCCAAGGGGCATTTGTAGAAGATCGGCAAATTTTAGATAGGGCTTTCCATTCTCGGCACTCCTCAAAGAGGCCAGGGCTGGTCATTAAGCTCGGCTAGGAGAAAGCTTACATGTCGATTGGTCGCTCCTATGCAAAGTATGGAGTTTGGGCATCTTTGGAGGAAATGGATATACGCGTGCATCTCATCCCCTGACTTCTCAATCCTCATCCACGGTAGCCCTAAAGGTTACTTCGCTTCCTCTGGGGGGGCTCCACCAAGGAGATCCCCTCTCGCCCTTCTTATTTGCTATCGCGGCAGAAATATTCAGTTCTTCTAGGTTATACCAAGCTTGCCTCCTCAAGGGACTCCTATCTAGGCCCCATGGTCCACAAATCTCCCACCTTCAATACGTGGACAATACCCTTCTATTATGCGATCCTTCTATCCAGCAGGTCAACTTGTTGCTCATCTTCTTAAAATGTTTCGAGATGGCCACTGGCTTCAAGGTCAACCTCGCCGAGTCCAAGATGACTGTGGTATGCATGGGACCCCATTAAATCCACGTTTTAGCTGATAGATGGGGCTGCTCCATACAGCCGTTGCCTTCTTCTTACCTTGGTTTGCTGTTGTGCATTGGTAAGCCTCGCTTGTCTATGTGGAACCACATTATTGATAGTTTCGATTGCAGATTAGCGGGTTGGAAGGGGAGGTTTCTCTCACCATCCGCCATGCTCACCCTCATCAAGGCAACTCTATCAAATACCTCAGTGTATCAAATGTTCATTTTCCAAATCCCTGCCTCGGTCGCAGCCATATTGAACAAATTGATGCGAGGATTTTTTTGGTCAGGAGATGGAGGCCATAAATATCACCTCATCTTCTGGTCAGTTCTGTGCTCACCTCTTCCATGCCTAGAATGTGGTCGCCCTATTTCAGAAGACATATTCGTGACGGCGAGATCAATGAACTCCTTGCCCTGACTAAGACCCTACACCAGGTCTTCCTCCCAAACTCTGGAGTTGATAGAATCTTTTGGGCCCCTGAGGTCTCGGGATTCTTGTCAGTCTCGTTCTTCTCTCGTATCCTTTACAGCCAATCTCCCAGACATCTTCCCCTGGCCTTCAAAGCATGGAACACGTTTGTGCCCCGAAGATCCAAATTTTATGATGGATGGCTACTTTGGCAGAATTCGAACCATGGACCAAATCCAAAGGAGAGCGGTCCCACTGCCAAACCGTTGCGCCATCTGTAGGGGGGCTGAAGAATCAAACGACTATCTATTCATTCATTGCCGGATAACATGCGCAATTTGGAACCACCTTCTCCTATTGTTCAATTAGTCCTGGGCCACACCCCACTTTGTTGCACAGTTATTCCAAATATCCCTCTCCCTCCCTTGGCCAAAAGCAGGGAAAATTCTTTGGAAGGCTTTTATGGCTGCATCTTTCTGGGTCCTATGGTTGGAGCATAACAACAGAATCTTTCGAGGAGAGGAAACCTCTGTGCCTTTCCTAATTGAGAAAATCAAATCCTTATTATCCTTTTGGGCAAAAATTCACAATTTGTTCATGAGTTATACCTATTTGGACATCTTTCTAATTGGCACTCGTTGCTCAACTCAAGAATTCCGAAGATCCAAAGGCTTCTCTTTGGCGACCACCTTAGTTTGGTGCCTCCAAACTCGTTTTTGATGGTTGCTCCCTTGGCCAACCGGGCCCTTTTGGCATAGGGGCTTTAGATCCCATGATGGTTCCACTATTTTTTTCAGTATCTCGCCCTGTTGGAATTGCGGATTCCTCGATGGCTGAGTCTAGGGCCCTGTTGGAAGGCATTTGTCGCTTTAACCCCTCATGGTGTAATTTGCTGATTGTCGAGCGAGACTCGAGGAATGTTATTGCTTGGGCCTCTGGCAAGGATACCTATCCTTGGAGGCTTCAACGCATTTTTGATGAAATCTCTCACCTTTGCACAGGTCATCAAGTCACATGGCACCACATTTTCAGGGAGGGCAACACAGTGGCTGACGGTTTGGCCACGGAGAGAGCTTCATCTACCTCATTTTTTGCTGTCCCTCACTGCCCTTAATTCTGTTTCACTTCTCAAGCCGCATTGTCACGGCCTTGAGGTTTTCTTTTTCTCTTGATGTATGGCATTTTTGGGCCCTTAAGGGTTTCTGTAAAGCTCAACCACTTTCCTTCGTACTCCGTCATAGATATTAAAACCCATTCCCATGCCCCTAAACCTCATTTAAAAAACCCTAGCTCTAATAACATAGCAACCTCCTTCGCAAACCTCTTACCCATGCCCCTAAACCCACCAACCCTAAATCAGCCCGAATATCACCTCATTCCGTTCAAATCCATTAATTGCCCTTGGTGGGCCTTTACTTTTTCAGCGACTTTAACCCCCTTAACACCCTCTAAAATCTAAACATATCCCTCTCTGTTGTGCGACTTGTATCTGACCTTTCCCTATCAGTTTACTTTTAATTCTATCTTATACCTTAAATACTTCAATTCTATTCGAAGTAAGAGATCTTGATGCCTCCATTATTGACGTTTGGGATAGTCTTTTTTAAGCTCACCTCACTTGTTACACTCGTGTGGGACCAAGCCTCCTTGGTCCTATATCAGTTTCAGTATTAGAGCAAGTTGTTTTTTTGGAGCTTGCTTTGATTCCAGCTATGTCAACCCATATGGGTCAAACCTATGGCTCTTATCCCAATAAAATCCAAAGAGGAGCTTTTGTTACAATCAATGGACAGGATGTATGCCAAGATTGAGTTCTCAGTGCATTGGTTGAGAAAATCACCATTATAATCGGTAGCTAATCCTGATGGAAACAAGGATTACATTACGATGCAAAACGAGCATAAAGATGATTGTACTTATCCTCCTAAAGCTATGATTGGTTCCATCCACTTCCCTTGAGCTTAGTGAACTTCTAAAGTAATCAATACAAGCCCTCTAAATGCTGGACATGCCGACATGTTCATGGACTGGCAATGAAGATCATCTAAATTCGGACCAGCCACTTCTTGACAAAGAGTGCTCTTCAAATCCAGCCCCAGAACCAGTTGTTGACCTTGTTGATTCACTGACAAATTCACTATTTTCCTTTCCCAGGTTCACATTGTCTTTCATCATCAAGCCAATGTTTTAAACTTGGTAAATGATGCATTGTAATACAATGATAATCACTTAGAAGATTAAAGAATCATTTAGCCTATGACAGATGAAGTCCTTGTACTTCAACCCTTTCTCTCTACTTCAACCCTTTCTCTCTCTTTAGAAAGGTGAGCCCGAGAATTTCAGAAAAGGCCTGTTGTTTTTGGACATGGGTTAAGTATGAAGTGATTGGACCTCTTCATTGATGAAGGAAGTATCATCAACATTCGACCAAAAGCTTGTTGACAAGTTAAATTTAATGATTAAGAGGTCCCACAGCCATATAATGCCTTGGTGATTGTGAATGCACCACTATTCCTATTTCCACCTGATATATCTTGTAGAATTTTGGGATGACTGTTTCATATTCTGAAATGATTTGGTTTGATGTTCTTTCTATGATTGTCAACCATATTATATCGGAATGGCCATGGTTGTTGGATAATAAGGTCAAGCATGATGGCAAGGTCAACCTACTCTTTCAAAGTAAAAAAATAAAATCATTATTCAGAAACCTTTGAGAGAGACGGAGTCTCCCAAGGAGACAATGATGGGCAAGCCTGCCAAGCTTTTACTCTTAGGTCTCTTTTGGAAGAAAGTTAAGAGATCAGGGTTGTTAAATTGCTTCTTGGAAGAGATGTCAAGCCTGACCATCAACTGGATAAAGACGAGTATCTCCCAGAGGTTTAGAAGATCTTCTCAGACCTCAAATTTTGTCCCGGTTGAGCTCCCTAACAAGTTGCTATCTTGGAGAGTATAAAGCATGCCACAAGTCTCATCTACCCTTCTGAACATTCTTGTCTATCCCATGAGTTGCGCAGAACATTCAGAGCTTTGTTGGCAAGTTGAACAGTTGCTGGGCAAGGGACTTGTTCGTGCTTGTGACTCTCCTCACCCTTAAGAAATACGACACTTGATACATGTGTGCAGACAACAAGATTGGAGAAATGAGCTAATTTGAAAACTCAAGGATGAATGTTCTCCATTCAGGGGTGAATGATTCAGATCACTTCCCTAAGGCATAACGTCTGCCTGGATGACCATCCATGGTGATCCAAAGCTTAAGTCGAAGGTCGTTTTCATTTTGAGACCTATGACCCTTATCTCTATGGGTTTTTATGTAATTTGGATGTTTCTGGCTTCGAATTGTGGTTGAAACCTGTTGGAAGAATCAGTAATGTATTTTGCTTCCTTAGTGTGTTATATTCCTTTCATTCCATTATTGGTTCCTAGAATCACTGATGTAGGGGACCTAGTGAATCTTTTTTAAAGATCAGTCTTCTTTTTGGCATGTGGAGTGCATGATGAATGGAACTCTGGAGGTGTAGCAGACGTTTTGGGCATGATTGGTGTCTCTTTCGCTGGTCATGGTAGTGAAACGTGGCATCCCTTGTTAGGTGACAACAACTATATTCATTAGTTTTTTTGATGCATTCATATATGATCCTACTCGTTATGGAGGAATTGTGGATGATTATCCTACATAGAAAATTTAGAGGCAACTATTTTTCCCTCTATGGTATTTTATTGCTCCAATTTCAGGGTGGGTATGGAGCGATCAATCTGCTATTGTATACTGTCCCAGGAAAATAAGCTTCGGGATGTGTGGGGTATACCATGTGTTCTATCCCTCTATCAGGTTTGCCAGAGTATCTGTTGTCCACTAGTCAACTTTAAGATGGTCTAGTGTTCCATGTGCTTCATCTCTACCACCATATTTTTTATTTGATGCTGGGTTCTTTGTCTTCCATGTCTGAATTTTGTTTGTTCTTAGGGATAATGGGGCTATTTGAAGACAATATCAGCAATAAAGTTTCTCCTTGTCTGAGTCTGAGGCTCTATCTTAAGGGAGAACTAAACACTGTGTATGAGGAGATAACAAAATTAAAGAGGCATGGGCTCACTAAACAACTGTGCACTTTATCAGTTTTTACTTTCTTGCTCTTTGCCTGTTTCCTTCTGTGATTCAACTGGGGGAGTTTGTGTTGCAATGTATTACCTTGTTCAGGGGGAGTTTGTGTAACCGTGGATTACCTTCTTTACGAATCTATTGTGTTCCACCCTTTTCAAATCATGATCAGGCTTTACTTGCTGCCATCTTCCCCCTAAAGTGACCCTATGGAACTCCTTTTTTGATTCCATGATGAGAACAAAGTGACCCTATGGCACTCTTTTTTTGATTCCATGTGTTCCATGATGAGAACAATTTCTTTCTTCCTCATTCTTTGCCTTCTTTGTAATCTGTTTACCCTTACTGTTGGTTACTTTACTGCTCCTTTTCACCATCCTTGAGCACTAGTAGTGATGGATCTTCCTTAATAATTCTAACCACAGCCTGCTGTTCACCTGTTGCCACAAAGAATAGTTTGAATGACTTTGCCATCTTCTTGATGATACTGACGTCCTTCCCTATTTCTTCCCATACGAACCCTAGTCTTTACGAACCCTAGTCTTAACATTGCATGCCTTTTATCTGCTCCTCTACATGGCCCTACCTGCTCCTCTGCTTTGTGAACACTAGTGGTAACAGTGGTTGCCAGCTCTCTAGTCCTATCTATGACCCTCTGCTTCTTTGCTTTCTGAACCCATTTTGTCTTGAGATCTATGCATCTTCTGATACTTTCCGACTGTCAGGCAGTAATACCCTATAGCTTTCCTCCTCCCCTTTTTTGCCCTTGTTACACTTTTTAATTTTCTGTCAACATATTCTTTTGTATTATCCTTTATTCTGTGACCCCTGCCACTTCCATTACCTATCCACATGATCCTTGATTGAGATGTGATGACCATTTTTTAACACCCATGAATGGTGGTACGATCTTATTCCTAGGAAAGTTTCTCACGCCTTACCATGGAACCTCCCTATTCAATTTCTCCCTTAGTCCTGATTTGACTGTCAATGCTTATGCACTTCCCCCCTTGAAACTCTCCGTTGATGTTTACGAAAGATAGTAGCCTCTCTGCACATTTATCTCTGCCAGTTTTTTCAATGCTTCATCCCTTTTTACACTCTTCTCTTAACAGCTTCTTAGCCTCGGCTACATATGTGACTACTGTGCCTCCTCTTTCTCGAGAGTTCTCAGGTCTAATTCTCTCCTAAATATTTCCCTGGAGAACATGATATTCCACACTACACCTTCCTCTTGGGCTATCACATTCCTCAGTTATCACATGGAATTCATTAAACTATTGAGCTTTGTTGCCCCACTTCCCTTTTCCCCATGATGAGGGTCACTGTCCCTAGTAGCAGCTTCACTATGCTGTTATTGCAAGCTCCTTTTGATTTGAGGCAATCACTCCCTCATTTCCATCCCAATATATATTATGCATATTACTTTATTACAACCCCTCCTCCTTACTAACTACTGTTTGAGTCCTGTCTATATATCCTGTTCCTTTGAATCCTGTCTATATATCCTGTTCCTTCCCTTGGGTGCAGGATGCTTCTATGTGTATATTTCAAACTCTGTTTAATTACAATTTGTGGCTCATGGTTTTGATCAAATGATGCATTCATGAAGGCTTGAACTGATAGGGTCTGTGAGTAAATGGTTCTATATTTGCTGCTGGATCATCATCTTGCTTTACTTTTTCAAAAATTCAGTTTTTCTAGAATTGGAATAATATGCAGTTGTGTTTGACCTCCAGCAGTAACTTGTTTGTCCCCTTGAGGTCCACCATGGGACTCAATTGACCAGATATTATTGTGCGGATTTTGTGTGACCAGATATTATTGTGCTGATTTTGTCTTGATTGAATATTTGCTTTATGTGTTTAGATATGAACAGTGTCCTTGAATGCCTCATGGCTTAAGCCTCAATTTCCTGGGTTTTTTTTGTCTTGTCAATGATTTGTCTGCCTTTGGCTTTGATGGTCTTTAGTTGTTTCTCACTGTATCTGTTTATTGAGGTCATCTGAACTAGTGGTGGAATTATATTTTTGGTTTCAGGATGCAAAGGAACATTTATCTGCTTTGGCTGACAAGTTGGGATCGTCCCTCACAGAGATAGATGTATGCCCGATTTCCTGTAAATTTGTCTCTATCGTAATCATATATATTGAACTTTCCATAGCATGGAGCAGGAAACTGACTTGACACTGTATGAAATGTAAACTCTATTTTTTTAATTTCTATCTTCTTGTTGAAACTTCAATTGCTTACTTCATGTCAATGCCTTTTCAGTTGTCTGTAAGAAAGACGACAACACCTTCAGATGGCTTAGATCAAGGTTGGTTTTTGGACTTGCACTTGAATTTTTGCTGTTATAACGTGCTAGCTTCCTGTGCTACAACCATATTTGTGTTTGATACCATGTGTGGTTGTTAAATGTGGCCTCATTTTGCATCTTCGAATATCTATGGAATCTATAGGTTGTTTGGTGGACTCGATGCACAATTCCATGTGTGAGGACTATGATGATGTGCTTATACATGATGTGTGAAAGGTGTCAAGTGCAAAATATCTTCCATAGATGTGCATGGATAAATAACCAAAAATATCTTCCTTAAATAGCCCCTGTATTATTTGATGACTGTCTTAGTTTTTCGTAAAGATTTTGTTGCAATACCCTCTATATGATGAAGTTCTCTGTCCTGCTAAGATTGTCGATCCCTGAATGCATGGCCCTTCTCTGAATGGGAACATTTTATCTTAGTGATTTGGGCTAGAATGGAACTTGTTGGCAAAGGCAAGGCCTTTCTTATTTATCCAAAAAAATTCAATTTTCCTTATGGTCAAGGTCATATTGCATGGGGTAATGTCATAGTCCTCAATAGCTAACAAGTTACCCTTAACTTTTCCCAACATTTTCCATTCTACACCTGATAAATGACATAATGAGTGCCCCATAAAAAGGTTCTGCAATGATGGGTATGGGTAATGAGAGTCCAAACATGCTGAGTAACTTCTCCTTATAGGGTGTATTGTGATAGGGCACATTGGAAGCAATCTCATGTGCCAAAAATGATCAACGTACAATGAGGATTATAGGTGGAAGATTGACTAGGTGGAGGTTATATCTTCTTTAACTCTGGCGAAATTTTTTTGTCTTTGTAATAGTTGTAGCGCATATTTCTTGATTAAAAATGTATCTATTAGGGTCATACAATTTGATTTCTGTAGTTTATGGACGTAATCCATTTCTTTCATATCTGCAGATTATTATGAGAAAGCTGAAGATGCTGTTGATTATGAAGATATTGATGAGCAGTATGAAGGGCCTGAGATACAGGCCGCTTCTGAGGAAGATCTAGTGCTGCCAAAGAAGGAATACTTCTCAGCGAATGTTTCATTGTCATCTATTAGCGAAGAGGCTCCTATCTTTGGGGAGGAAAATTATGATGAGGATGATGTTCCTGATAAGGAATCCAATGTGGTCAATAATTGTCTCCAGATTCAAGCAAAATATGAGGTCCCAGAAGATATTTTGCAATCCAATGTGGGGGATACTTGCCCTCAAAACCAGAGTGATTTTGAGTTGGTGGAAAATATTTCGCAACCTGATACGGTGGATAATTGTCTTCAAAACCAAACTAATCTCGAGGTCGCAGAAAAGATTTTGCAACCCAATGGGTTGGATTATTGTCTTCACCAGACAAAACTTGAGGCAACAGAATATGTTTTGCAACCCATTGTTGTAGACAATTGTCTTGGAACACAGACTACTTTTGCAGCGACAGAAAATATTCTGCATTCCAGTGTGATGAACAGTTCTCTTCAAACCGAGACTAATTTTGAAACAGGAGAGAAAAATTTGCAAGTCCAGGCTGAATGCCCAACAGGTCATGCGTTATTGTGCTTTTAATGTTCCTTTGAATGTATTAAGGTGCTATTTCTATTGTCAAAATTTTGAATTGTATAATCAAAAGGATAATAAATTTTCTTTGGGACCATTTGCTTGAATGTTTTACTGATTGTGGTTTACGCTTTTCGAAGTACTTTTGGGTCAATGTTTCATATTAGTATTTGAATGCAATTTTTTTTTTTTAACTCACATTGAAAGCTTTCGGTTGAACGCACTTCGGATTAGTATGGACTATGAGTGGTTTAAGATTTGGATGAGTTACTTGTCTGAGACATTTTTGAGCTATTAGGAGTGATGCCATTAAGTTGGAGTTGCTTGAGGGACCATGTTATACAGGAGCTGCTACCTCCATGAGGGAAGTTATGTGGGATGTTCTTTTAAATTGGATACTGATTCGGGTGTCATTTATGGTTAAGTGACACGACATTTATGTGGTCTTATCACAGCTTCATTTTGCTTCCAGTGTCATGGTTTTCAATATAGACAAGCAAAATTTTTCAACCCTTATATTGAACTCATGGGTACCAATCCCCTTCTGCCTCTATGGTGTGCATGCCTGTGCCCCTCCACCTTCCATAAATGAATATTGGTAGATATGATCTGCCTTGCTTGCTGTGGCCAATAAGATAGCACAGGTTCCTTGGAGGCCCTTCTTAAGCGAGTTCCTTTGCAGTGGGGGGTATGATTCTCCTGCTGTTAGCAATGCTGCAAAACTACTCATTCATTGTTAAAAGTTGTGTGCTCTCTACATTTAGCCCTGTCAAAAGACATGCATTTTCGACATTAGTGCACCGAAGCACACAAACGTTTTACCTGTTGCCAACTATATTCTTTTAAGATCGAGGTTCCAATAAACCTAAGTAATGCCAATATGGCATGCATATAGAGAAGTGAAATTATATTTCACAATGGAGCAAATTGTGCAGTGGCTTCCTTGGCGAAACCATAGCTAGGGGGTTCTTCGTACGCATGTTTTGGGGATGTAACCTACTCAACCTAGTGAGCAACCCTTAAAAAATTCAAGCCACAGGGTTGTACACAGATTGTCCAGTTTTTGGTCTGTTAGATCTAGGTGTTCAAGATCTCACATTAATTTTTTTTTGCCCTTTTTAATTACTCATCTGGTGTTTGTAAAGTGGATCTCAAACTTTCAGATCAAGAAAATCGTCCCATGTGGGGTCTTAGCCTGAAGGGGCAACCGGGCAAGTTTAGAATTTGCTCCCACTAGAGAATAATATATGAGGGCTTATATATAACTTCTAAATATTTTACATTTTCTCGCATGTGTGGTTACCCTGTTATTGAAAATTCAGCTTTGTCAACCTTTCTATGAGTGACAGGCTCCAGTATTTTTGCTTTATGCAGATGAACATGCTCAGTCATTTGAGAAGCGAGAGAAATCACCTGATTATGATGTGCCTTTTCTTGAATCGGATGAATATTGTTATGATGCTGATGATTTTCTGGAGGTCGGTCATTATCTTAACTATACAGCAGTTCCAATTTTCCTTATTCCATACTTTGGTTTCCATGTAGTTACTTATATTACTTTTTTTTTGAAATGTGTAATTGCTTATATTACTAGAACTTGTTATTAATTGAGTCACTTGTAATTTGGACATTACTTGCACAACGGCTGTTCTTTGGTGCGAAAGAGATCTTCATATGATATACTCGATTCCTGATGTTGATTTTTTAATGAATGCATTGTTGGAGATTAGTATTATTTTTTTTGATGTTATAGTAAGATCCAAGGCAAAGAAGTGAACTGAATTGGTCTCAAACTAACTTTTGAACATGATAAGTTAGCTGAAGTATGAATGACATTTCACTTGGACACTTCGTTTGCGCATGCCATCTTTTATGCATAATGAAGTAACATTGGTGCTGGCCTTTTCCCTTTGTCTGGAAATGCGGAAACATCCTTTCCCTTATGCAGTGGTTTACTGCGATGCCCTGTATCCATTTGCTGTATTCGTTTATTCTTTGAAAGTTATGTTTTGTCGTGGACTTGGATCTGCTTATAATGGAGAATCTATATAGCTTTTGGTGACCGCTACAATTAATTTCATAAGAATCTATATAGCTTTTGATGACTGCTACACAATTTAATTTCATAACAATTTTCATCTTTGCAATCATTATTAAAAATGGTTAACTGTTGGTTACTTTTTCCCTGATAAAATGATTAAGTCTGCTTTTCTCTTATGTTATCTCATTGGTATACTATAAAATGTGGCAAGCCTCATTTTGTGCATCTATCCCTTAGCCGTGCAAGGTGGGTAGGTTCTACTTATGAATGGTAGCTCCAAGCTACCTGCAAAACCTTTGTACCTAGAATTTCTTTTTTTGCGTTTTTTTTTTTTTCACCTCTTGCGGTTGGGATTATGTTTAAGTTGCTTTTTAGTTTATGAATTCCTTCAATTTGAGATTTTGGTTCTCTAACATTGTTTTGCTGTTTCTCTTTTACATCTGATCTGTTAGGTTGAGCCTGCAGCTTTGGATAACCAGGTCAATGATGATACCAAGGCTCCTTTGCCTATACTATGCAGAGAAGATGGGATGGTGGTCCTACGATTCTCTGAAATTTTTGGCAGAAATGAACCTTTTAAAAAGAACGAGAAGAGGCCCCCTCGCAGACACTCAATTCCTAAAGGTATGAGGCAATCTGATGTCCAGGAACCTGTAAGCATCTTTGTGATATTGTCCTTACAGAATTTTGTTTTCTTACTATATATGTATTATGGTGCATTTCTTACGTGACATCTGTTTCTGCTATGTCTAACCATGTCCTCGGTAACCTCCAATCCAAGGTTGGTGATATAAAGATTTAGCTATGTTAAGCTCATCCAAGCAAGTCTTATTAACAATGTGACAACATTAAATTTGTAAATTCTAAACGATTGATTGGAAATCGAAATTGTGTAATTTTCATTAGACATCTAGTGATATTTGATCTGTATTATGCAGTGAAATAAATCCCTATAACAAAAAAATTGATATGTTTTCCTATACTTGAATGGGCCTGATTCTCGATTATTTTGATGGCAAACTTCTGCGCGAACTGGGAAAACCATAACTCATCTAAGTCGATAAAAGTTTTGAATGATTACTATAAAATCACATGCAAATGTGAATAACCTAGTGATTCGACTTTATTTCTGGGCACCAATTTTGGAGCTTTAGGTTTCAGAAATTAGGGGTGGGAATAGATTTTCAAGCCATCGTGTGGTTTTCCTAATGAAACTGCATCTTCCAACAGGGTTTGTAGGTGGTGCCTTGCTTTTGATTATTTAAGGTTGATGCCTTGTATAAACTACATCCAATAGAAAAAAACCTTGATGTCCTCCTCAAAACGACCAAAGTACTGAAGGGTTCTCTTTCTATGCCAAATTGAGGTGTGTTTGAAGTGAATTTGATGGCACAAAAGGTCATGGCTACTCTCGAGCAAATTTCCAATTGCAAACTGGTAAAGGACCCAAAGGGCCAAAGGACTGAAGGATTTTTTTTGTGCCATTGAGGTGTGCTTGAAGCGATTTTGGTGATGGGGATCATGGCTATGCACGAACCTATTGCTTGATTACGTCATATCAAGCAACTGGTGATTCACCCAAAACTATACAAACCCATTGGATGCCTCCTAGTTTTGGGCATCCACCTTAATCTAATTATGCAGTTCATTACATTTTTTTTGATGAACTATAGATAAAAGTCTGCTAACCTAGGTTGACTAGACTTGCGTGATTATCTGAAGAGCCTGAGGAGCTGTCATGTACAAACTAACCATTAGACACCCCTAAGTTGTTGGATTTGAATGTTCTCTATCATCCATTATACCTGGCATTATATCACTACATTATTAACTTTCATTGTTTTCATCAATTTATGAATATTGAGATGTTCTTTCCCTAAATTAACTTATTGTTGACCATTAAATTTATAGCACACAAAAGAAATCATAGAAGTATCATGGATTAAGTATATAATCATATATGGACTACAATAAAGAGTTGACTAAATCGATAAAAAATTGGCCACTAAAATCTCGAATTGGCGGAAAACTCTAATCCGCTAAAAAAACCCAAATTATTACAACCTAACTAACTATAATATTATATACCAACAATATTTTATAATTATTTTATTATATAAATAATAACAAATCCAAAATATTTTATAATATCATCTAAATTTAAA